GTCTGTCCTAAAAACTCTAGACTTACACTTGCCTAAGCGGAAACTGATACAATATTTTCTCTGCAGTACTACAGTAGCTCAGCAACGAAGTAACAGAACATGTTCCAAACATGATTTCAGATAAACTGCATGAGGACCTGTGGATACTGCCCGTCATCCACGACTGCTGCAACTGCTGCAAATGCAACCAGCGCCACGACTGGTAACTCTCCTACTCTTTAAGTACCATCAATTTCATCTCTTATGTACCTCTTATTTTAGTTGCGGGCTCAACCGGTACATGCGTTGATACAAACTCTAAGTAAGATACATCGCAACTATTCATGCTTATTCTGTAATCCAAATATAATTGTTTACAGCTGTGCCAAGTTGGGTGAGGAATGGTTTCTGTACCAATTCATTTTACACTGCCGCGCATAAAAGGCAGCACTGTGCCAGATCTTGCAACGTCTGCTAAACGACGAGCTCAGGACCACCACACGCGATCATTGTTTGTAAATAGTATGACACGAACATTCATTCTACCGTTAGAATTGGGCCTGACCAACCCGAATCTTGCTGATAAATACATTTTACAACAAATGGTGTTAATCGTTTATACCAGCGAAGGGTTTCGACTAGATCGTCAGGAGCAAAAAAAATGGCTCAAGATTCACAAGAGACTCTCTGAACCTTTAAGTAGCTGTTTCCGCTATATGTGAGGCTCACTGTGCCATCCCTGTTACAGTGGCTATATTCAAGACTTGCACGTGTCATCGCCTAAACCAGTAGTTCGCAGTGCGGTGCATGAGGAAAGAGATCATTCGTCACCACTCATTTTGCTTGTTCATTCTGAGATACCTTCCAGATATTCGGTAATGCTACAATCACTACGGTAACTTCAGTCTCGTACGCTATGTACGCTCCTGTACCTCACATCAAAGTCCTTTCCACAATGCCCTTATAATCAGAGGCTTCCCTTGCGGTATCGCTACGTGCCGTTGACACGCCTTCAACTGGCGAGATCTTCTTCTTCTTAGCGTTCTTGTCCAACTGTTGTCGGGTACGCTTCTTTGACCAACGCTTTCCAACGGTCCCTGTAAATAGAATCGGCTGCGGACAGGCCAGCAGCAGTCATGTCCATATTTAGGTTGTCTTTCCACCGCATTCTAGGTCGGCCTTTTGGACGTTTACCGGCGAAGACGATCTTATCAGCGGACTTCGATACAGCATCAGGAGGTCTTCGTTGAACGTGACCATACCAGCGGAGACGAGCTGCGGCAAGGGAGTTGGCAATCGGCTGGACCTTCATCCTGTCTCGGACTGTTTCGTTGCGGATTCGGTCGAGTCGCGTGTGTCCCAGACTCCATCGTAACATTCTCATCTCCATAACACCGTAGGCTCTTGTTTCCTCGGCCGTCATCTGTTTAGTCTCGGCTCCATAGATGGCGACTGGCTTCACGACTGAAGTGTAGATCTTTGACTTCAGGCGTATTGGTATTCTCCTATCACAGAGAACGCCAGTAACAGATCTCCATTTGCTCCATGCAGCGTTGATTCTTGCAGTGGTGTCGGCCTTGGCATCTCCGTCCGCGGCAAGCGTAGATCCGAGATATGTTGCTCTGGAGAGGGGTGTTCCATCGACTGCGATTGACGATGTTG